ACTCGGTCCCGTGAGATGCATGAAATGCAACAATATGGAAATCCGTCCATTTGTTCCGCGAGCCGGTTAAATCGAGCACCGAGCCGGAAAAGGGGTAGAGCGCGGGGGCGGAGGAAAAAGGAAATGGAAGGTAACGAACGGAAGCAATCGGCGTTCCTTCGATCCACCGATGTTTTCGTCGATCGAAAACATATAACTCACCCGGCCAGGCAGGCAGGCCGGCCATTGTAACCAGTTAAGCGCGTCGGATGGCGGCGACTGCGGCGCTGCGATTTAACGGAATAATTTGGTTGATTTAACAAATACCGCGGAATAACGATTTATTTGCATACGAGGCACCGTGCGCCCCACCCGCCCCGCCTGCTACCGTGCTAGCGCGGATATATCTCGATGGATCACGATAAATTTAATTCCCGTTGGCGCACCGTGCGCGAAACCTCGATCCGCGCTGTCGTTGAAATGTGAAATAACTAGTTACAGTCCCGCGGGCTGATTGAAAAACAAAACCAGGGAGGATTCCCGCCGAACGCCGGCGCAGGCAACTGAAACGGGAAAACGTCCATTGAAACTGCGCGATTGTTTGGTTTTGCCGGCGAAACGCGGGCTTATTTAACGAGAAAGATGCGAATGGAAGATAGGAAGGATCATTTGTAGCATTTGCGGAGATTCAGTGACAAAGACATATTTATTTATAAAATAATTGCTCGAATATAAGCTTGTCGAGGGGATTGTTGATCTTTGTCGTCTTTTAGTATTTTTGCTGAGTTTGTTGTATCTATTGTGGGTAAAGTAACTTTCGAGTGATGTTTTATGGAAATTGTTTATAATATTAGGGAACATGAATATTATTAAATATTTTTATGCGTCTATACTTATCTAAATAAATAACAGTCCAAGTATTAAGTATATTACATCCTTTTGCACTCGAAAGTTTTCCTGCGTATATCCATAAGTTTCTAATGAAATACCGATGAAATTCATGGCATTAAACAGAAATAATCCACGAATGATGGGTTAAAACTATCTTATCTCTTTATCTCGTGTTTAACTACATTATACAAAATTTGATATTCAATATAGAATTTTACAATTCTTCCATGTCAAACGAAACGAAGACTATGAAACCGCTCTCGAGCGCAGATGTTTAAAGATTATGTATTATTGAAGATTATTCCACCGAGAGAAACAGATGGTTCCCCCTTTAAAATGTTCCCCGGTGACTATTAAACGTCGTCACCTTTCTTTTACGGCTGGGAAGTCCTGCGAGGCGTCCAGCGTGTAACGGTAAGAACGTTACGTTACATGACAGACGTGCTATGTGACAAGAAAGCGTCTAGAATTCAGTGAAAAAGGAAGGACCTATAAGAGGGAGTTATGTCAGCAAGCTATTAGCCAGGAACGTGTCCTTAGCAGTGTTCAAGTTCCGAGGAAACTTCGCAATTGGAGGACTCGGAAATCCTACGAAACGTTGCCCAAGGCTTAAATGGACCGCGATGTCGTGAAGGAAACGACGCCATCGTTATTTTCTCGACGACTCGCAACGCTTTTCCATTTTCAGCTCGGATTCCCGTTGACTGGTCCACCCCGTCCACCCTCATTCGCGAGAAACTAAAGCTTTATTCGCCGGGTTCGATGCCCGGCACAGTTTAAAAAGAAACGACGCCCCTTTCGTTCGATCCTGTATTTTCTACGTAGTTACGGATTCGATGATTTCAATTTCATTTAGCAATATATAACCAGTTCTCTATGGACTCTTATTAAACGCTGTGTTACGTAAACGAAGCATGGAGAATATAGAAAAATTCTAGATCGTTTAGGTGGAGTTTATAAATTATTCTTTTTTAGATACTCGTTTACTTTTGTTAGGGATTTCTACTGGAAATGTTGTTAGTGAATATTCCGTGTATACAGAATGTAGAAACACTATTTGCTGAACTTTTGGTTAAATACTTAAAATTCGTATTTTACATTCATTATTTATTAGAAATATCAAGTACATATTGTAGTAATTTCCATTAATTACTAATCTCTTGTAATATTTACTTCACATTTTCCATCACTTGCTATCTAACGCTAGTAAAAGATTATTCATCAGCAATCTAGCATTTCCATTATGCTTAATACCTTCGACTATATTTTCCATTCCAAATATTTATCATTCTCTAATGAAACATCAAAACCACTATTTTCCACTAACACAAAGTAAAACCTTGCATAAACTAAAGCCATAAACATTTCGTTCTCTATGTTTTATACCCTAGCATCGCACACAAAATTCAATATTAAACAGTAACCGAGAGTCCCTCCAAAATGCAAAGTTTCAATGCTTACAAACATTTCCTTTTTCCGCACAACCCACCGAAAATCATCAGAAATCTCAACATTAACCCCACATTTATCCCGGAGGTCACCAAAGTATCCTGCAATTTATTCGTTTATGCAACCGAGCAGATTCATCCGCAACGTACAATTTGTCCGAGCCGATTTTCACGCGCTCTCCGCGCGGTACGTTTCCGCGTCGATAGTTCGGCGCATCGTGGAACCTGTGCGCGACGAGAAAG